TCCTCTTGTACACACTTGTTGTTCGCGTGTTCAACTGTTGAGATTGTGTTTCTTGTAGTTAAGGTCGGCGTCTGGGATTGTGCAACGACAATTCCCGGCAGCAGAAGATGACTTTCACGTGCTGGAATCCGAAGTAGTTTGTTGTAAAACGTTGTCCTTTGTCCTTTCCAAAATTGGAGAGCGTCCACATCAAAGCTCTCCAAGCCAGGCCACGTCAGGATCCCATACCTGGTAAGACAAAACTCAAGTCCGTCCGTTGGTTTCTAGAGCCGCTCCTGATGTTAGACTCATGATCCCCAATGGCCTTTCGGTTCAGCCGTGTTGCTCGACTTTGGGCCCTTTGGATTCCTTGCAAGGTTGTAAATGCCAACTTATGGGTTCTTGGCTTTGGCGTGATAGAGGGCTTTATGACAGGACAAAAGGGATGCCGGAGTGAATTGTATGCGGATTTTTCCGCCATGGCGAAGTGCCCCTGTGTTTGGAAGTTAGTCGCCCGTAGCGCAAGTGGTGCGGTCATGTACCGTACATCAGCAATTGCATCCTCAAAAAAGCAAGGAGGTGAACAACTGCACAAGAGATCACCCAAAGTATTTGCGCGTATGGGCTGCGGGGGAGCCTCACGGCGTTTGCTTATAGGAAGGAGTGGGACAGACTGGGTGCCTGTGCGGGGTTCAGATTCCTAAGATCCAATCATCCATCAGGAAATCCTAAGCTGCGAAATCGTTCTAGGCTCCAGAAGATATGCTGAATCCGGGTTCGAAGCCAGACATATTTTTCAGCTTCTGCTAGGCACCCAGAGGACTTTTCAATGCTAGAAGGGCAGTACATGCTGCCTGAATACAAGGGATGCAGGCAATGTTTAATTTTTCCCCCAAAAGCAACCCCAATCCAACCCCAAACCCCTAAACCTTATATAGGCCAGTATAGGAGTTTCCCTTTTGTTTTCCATTCTCCCTATATAGTTCCTACCAACGCCAGGCTGTGGAACCACGTGCCCCAACCCAGCACGCTGCTTGAATCCAAGCGGATCGTCATCCCAGCTTGATTTATTCATTGCGGGTATAATTTGGCATTGGGTCATGGTCAAAAACATTTTGCTTTTGATGTGGATTCAACAAGAACAAGATAGAGGACCTGTCTTCTTGTGTGAGTTTTCAGGTTTGTACACTTTGCAGGCTTTGGGCTGCTTACAGGTCACCTGAAGTGATGATCTTGTATCTGGTGGGAGTTTAAGCTTGTGCAAGCAGGTCTGTGAAGCCTAGGTGGGCCCCCCCACCCTGTAATAGTGACTACAAGGAGTAAGGATTATACTAGGGTCCTACTATACCGCTACTACAAGGTGGGGGGGTGTCACTGAAGTATATCCGCTCCTTTTTGGGGTGCCCTTCTCATGTTGGGTCTGACTTACTTGAAATGGAAGGAGATCCTGCCTGAGCGCAGAGCATGCAGATTACCATGTGGCACTCCGGAAGTGTAATCAATCCCAACACTCCTTCGATCTGAGTAGTCCTTTGAGCATACGAAGGTGATGAATAAGACGTGATAGGAACACCTTGCAGCGCCCATTGCAAGCCGAAGATAGGATCTTTGTGCTTTGGCGGCAAACCCCAGTAGCATTTAGTTGCAAAGTGTTGTGGCAGGTGCGGGAGCAGCACGACGGACTCCACGTGATCGACGCGCTCATGATCTTCCGGGACAGCATCCGCCGGGGACCTACAAGTATGATGCGGAGCTTTCCCGGCTTGAGCGATCATTCTTTGGGCTCCTAAAAAAGACGCCACATGGTTAGTTCAAAACGCCCTAGATGCCACGCATACATGAAAGCGATAGATACAGCATGTTTGCTGTAGCTGGAGCAAATTCCATCCCACCCGCTCCCCCCACTTCCTACGAAAGCTACTTCTTCAGGCCTTTTGATGGCGCTCGCGCGCGCTCGTCCTTTTGAGAACCATCTTCCGGAGTTTCTAGTCTAGGCCAGCCAAAATGCATGTGTGGTTGAGAACAGATCCTACTACAATAGGCCTGTATAAGGCACCCCGGTTTTCAAAAGCATGCATAACAGTTACTGAGTTTAAAGCAGCAGCAGGGAGCGATTTCTAACACTGCAGGCCTTGCAAGAGGACGGCAGCTGCTATCATTGCACTTTGTCAAGTTTTGTTCCGCGGCTCTTTCCCCTCGTCGACGGGAACAACAAAAACTAGAGCAGCATCACCACTACCCACACTTCTGCCATCTACCACCACATCGGTGACAGTAGCAGCAGGTTGTGAAATATGTCTCGTAAGAGTTGTTTGGTAATCTGTGCTTATTGCAAGGTGCTTGAGATTGTAAGGGTGTGACTGGACTATTCCATTGGAGTGGCGCATTTGCTTTCACTTGGCCAGCAACGTCTGCAAGCAAGGAGCGTAAGATCTGCATTTTGGAGCAGGACAGCATATGAACTAGGATCCTAAAGTCCTCACAAGACATATATGCTGCCTTGACATCCCTAAAGATGCTTTGTTGCCAACTTCTTCCAAGACCTTTTATTCCCATGCGCTGTGCTGAGGCCCTGAGTGGGAAGATCCAATGAATGCCAGAGGTGGCCACTTTCAGGCCACGAACGCTTGCTGCAACAGACTTTGCATGATGTTAAGTGAGGCTTATGGTTTTCACCTTCTGGTGGCTATGCCTTGAGAACCAGTGGACCCTTGTTGCCCAAGTCCCATGGCTTGGTAAGCCCAGGCTCATCAAATTTGAAGTCGTAAGCGAGGAAGCTTTCCACCACGAGTCACAGCATCCCTGGCCAGTTCCAGCTGAAGCCCAACGCAGGGCCAGGTCAGATAGACGAGTGCCCTGGCTTGACTGTATTTTGCTTGGCAAGGGAATTCAAAGCTTCCTGGGTTGAATTCTGAGAGTTTGGGGATAATAAGCCAGGAATAACTCTGCTTATCCTGGGTGATTACACCGACGCCGTCTAGCGTTAGCCAAATGTCTTCCCAGTACTGCTGGTATCATATGGATACATACGGCGCTCACGTTGTAGGGATGGAGTATTGGGTGGGGACCAATGCCACCCCGAAGGCGCCATCACTATGGCTGTTGGCGCTTTTAGCAAATGGCCACCGATGTTGATAGAGAAAGCAATGATGAGGATAGCACCCCTCAGCCACCCGATCCTTGCATTTATGCGCCCGGGCCAGCGCTTGGTGAAAACCTGACTGTCAGTCGGGCTTCAGGCCTAGGAATTGCAATCTATACGTAGAACAACATCTCCATTTTGCGAGATCCCTGTACCAAATGCGAAACAAAGTGCTTTAGGTGTAGATACTGGAGTAGCCAAACTTCAGGTCCCTTTCAAACCGCCAGCTACCTTACAAGCAAGCCCAGTGATGGCATACGTATGGAAGCGCCCTTATCTGTAGTCCCTGTGTCTGAGAATCGAGCAACAACAGGGCTATAGGCTCAGGGCTTCGTAGTTGAAGCATCTGCTGGCCCTCAATGCTAAGACTGGCATCCTCCTCAAAGAGGCCTTGAAAGAATCGTAGCCAGGTATTGGAACAACCTGGTACTTGGCATCATTGGCGCCACTATCGAGCCGCCGAACATGATCACAGGAGCAACTCCCAAGTTGGCAATCAACTACCTAGCCTCGGTGGAGTGGAACTTTACTTACTGCAACTGTAGCGCTTCATAGAAGCAACTACGTAAAAGCCTTTCCCGTCGTGATTTTGTAGTGGTTGAAGGAATTTGTGTTGGGGTCATGCTAGATTTCTCATAAAAATTCCTGCGAGAGGACGGCATCATCAGAGTCATGGGGCGCAGCACTCCACAAACACGCCTTAGCACATGTGTGTTTCCATTAACGCACATCAAAAGCCTAACAACACCTGCGAAAACCATCACATTCTCTTCATACTGCACAAAGATATTGAACGCAACTCCTCCAAATCCCTACACAGCCACTATCACCACATGCACACCAAACCCTAATCCACGAAGGCCCCATGCCATGTCCCTTGGAGGAGTTCGGCTGGTAGACAAGCTCTCCGGGCCTCGGGCTGCTGGCGTGCTCCGAATCGAGGCAGGGGCATTTTGAAGGAAGTGCCCTCCATGTCAGGTCTACCAAGTTGAAGCAACAAAGCTTAGGGGACCCCCATATAGACCCCAATCATAATCCTTGTTCTGGGGACCCCCCCCCCCACAGAAGTACCGATAATTTTGGGAGCCCCCCCGATGTATACGTTCACTGCCCCGCAAAGCCCTAAGGGTCCAAGTACCCAATAATCATATACTTACCCAAAACTTGTACTAAAAATACTATTACCCAAAACCCAAGTACCTAATTATTGGGTATATGGACCCTAAACCCTAAACCCCATATACCCCTATATATCCCCCTTAAAGGGTACCTAATTATTGGGTACATGGACCCTCTGGGAAGGGGAATACGGGCCTAAGTCTTAAGTAGTAGTTTCCATTTTCTTTTCCATTATCCCAATATTAACCCCAATATAGCCCCTATATAACCCTATAGATCCTCTCTTTAAAGGGACCTAATTATTGGGTCCATGGACCCTAAATCCTAAACCCCATATATCCCTATATAACTCCTATATATCCCTTTAAAGGGACCTAGCGAATGAGCCCGAAGGTCTGGTTCACCGAGTCCGATGATAAGGACGCCGTCGGAGCGCTGCGGAAGAACGTCGAGACCTGTCATTGGCCTTAAAGGGTTTAGGGTTTACGGGGTTATGTAGGGATATTGGAAAAGAAAATGGAAACTATTGTAATGGGTTATATAGGGGTTATATCGGGTTTAATATAGGGTTATATGAGAGTTGAAGGTTCAACAAAAAACATGAGGGTACCAGTCGCCATCTTTGCCATTGTTTTGCGTCACAGCTATAACAGAACGCCGAACATGAGTTTAGACCACTTCAAGGATACAGGTGCAAGAAGTAGTGATATTCGTGGTTCTGCAAGAGTGAGTAATGCGAGCTGAGAATAAGAAGTAAGTGAACGCAGTTGTGCAGCTGCCGTTGCACCAGCGCTCTAACAAAAATCTGCTGCCATAGCTCCTCCCAAGCAGCCCGGGCCTGCTGCATGCGACGTGCCCAAGAGTCCCCCTTAAGGAATATGGCTTTGGGTATATCGAAATGAGATCCCATATACCCCATATTCTATCTACTTAAGGGTAACTACAGTTGCAAAGACTCCCACCTCACTAAGGTATGGCACAAAAGCTGGATGGGGGGAAGGGCACGGTGCGCTGCCTCCAAGTCCCAGCATCGAACGCGTCGCTTGAGATCCCTGACCTGCTCACTGGCAGTGGGAGGGATGCAGCGAACTTATCAAATCCTGTCAATTCACTTGGCCACAAGACCCCACTTGCCGGACATTGTTTTTAGGCTATTCTGCGTGTAAAGCGGGGGCGCTACCATTACTAGTGTTACTTTTGTTACTAGTATTACTATTGTGATTACTGTTATCATTACTATTATTCCTTTTATTCCCATCCTGAGCTTCAAAAATCCCAAGGTGCCAGGTAGACTGTCATCACACCAGCTCAAAATTTCAGGGTTCCACAGGAAACTGCTTTGTGTCTGCGAGCTGTAATGACTTCAAGGGGATTGTTATCTAGGGATATGAACCCCAATAATGGAGAATCACATGGAACAGAAAATGCAACATGAAATTGAAACTGGGGTTATATCAGCTATAGTCTAAAGTGGGATACTAGGAGTTTGTACTACAGCTCATGTGATGGGTCATCAGTGCTGTTTCGGGCTTAGTCTGTAGCGAGTGCAGTGCTGCCAAACCTTGACCAATGGTTCGAAGCTTGAAGCTGACCTTGTCAGCTCACAGGAATCACACACCGTCATGGCTATTTGACGGTTTTCGCAATTAGTTTGAGCCACTGTACTTTGCACGGCATCCTAATTTATTGCCAGGCATTCACAGCAATGCCTAAGCCACATTGGCAGCTCATGCTTTAAAACCAGAGCCATGCCGCGGCGGTCCACAGTCTGGCACATTGTTCTGCTTCTTCCGCAAGTGAGGATAGCCTTTGGCAAATCTAAAGTTGAGCCCCTCGACTGCTGAACAATATGATTGCACGGGTTTTCTTTCCTTATTTCGGATGGCGACAGTACCTGGCAGGAAGCACTGGAGTCTGGCAGCTCATGCAAAGGGGACCAGGTTGTAGAAGGCTTGCCTTTGAGGTTTATTTGGTCTAGAGCCATCTGGCAGAAGCCCTTCCGAATTATCGCCCACCAGCCCTGCATCCTGAATCATTCAAATTTTTTGCTCTTCAAAGACCCCAGAACTCTGCCGCTCCAAATAGCACAATGCGGATATCAGTTATACATGTTGGGGCGCATTTGGTCTTGCTTGTATAGTCCCCCTTAGGTAGATAGAATATGGCGTTGGGTGTATTATACTAAGATCATCATATACCCCGTATTCTATCTACTTAAGGGGGACGATAGACTTATAGCGCCAGGGCAGCCCCAACTCCCGGCAGGTTTTGGCAGAACTGCGCGGCTCGAGGCCTATGTGAGAAGCGCTACGAGTTCCGGGACCTTAGCATCCATGAGAGCCCGGAAGGCACCGCCCTTCTTCAACAACACTACTGGTGCCTAAGGGGGAGTGGGGGAATTATGGGGTAATATTCTACGGATCCACTCTCCCATTCTCTCTGAAGCACCAGTAAGCAACAAGCAGGGACATTGCGGAACACTTGAGTACATTTTACAGGCAACCTGGCCTCGTGACAACCTGAGTGTCGTCCTACCTAGTCATCACCTGCCCCTGACAGTCAAATCCCACACGCTGTGACTGTCCCAGTAGCGCAACGTAGAAATCTGAATCAACAGGAGTGTTTTCTCATGGCCCCCGCACGCCCCATGGTATTTATTTTGCCCGAATTAAATGGCGCAAGTATGGTGACTTCATGGTTGCCAAGGACATGATTTCAGGTGATAGAACGTGATTTGAGCTGTCTCTACGCGGAGTGGCGTGTGACCCACGACCTTAGCAGCAGTACTTATCAGCTAGGTCTACCCCTAAGTTTCATAGCCTTGGCTTTGAGCAAGTCATACCCTGAGGGTCCAATTACCCAAATAATAAGGCTTTAACGTAACTAAAGCCCCAATATTTAGTTGCAGATGCTAGGGGCTTTCCTCGGGGATGGGCCGCATGAGCTGCAGGATCAGCTTGCATGCCAAGGGTTATATGAGCAAAAGTCTAAACTCCTTCAAGGGGGCGTATGTAGGAGACCATGAATTATTTGGTTCATTGAGGGGGATACTAGGACTTTGAGACTAACTCATATAGACCTTTTTTGGCAGTATAGGAGGCTGTTTCTCCCTGCGAGGTATGTTGAGGCAGCTTTCGAATATCTAGCTTCCACCACAAGGGTCATCACCTGGAAGTCAACTGAATGGGCGATGGATACTTAGTGCTTCAGCTCCGGAGTCTCACGTGACCCTGTTGGAGCAAGAAGTATGGCCCCTCTTTTTGAGGTAGCCCGAAGCCCTAAACTCAATGCGGCATGGGACTACTCTTGCCATCTACGTTTTTGTGGGTTCCTGAAAGTCCAATGCCACTACTTTAACTCTCAGCCATGAATCCCCAAGTTCGGCGACATCTTGCTTAGCGATGCCAAACCTGTCCCTGCTTTATGGATTCTAGAATGTTTGCACGCCTGGGCAAGAAATACGTAGCTAAGACTTAGCCAATACAGTAGCCTGTGAATTAAAAGAAGCAATTGCCATAGGGGTGTAAGGGTTCCCAGACCCCTGGGAGGATCTAAAAATTAGATCCCCTATGTGGACCCATTATAACCCCTATAACCCTAAACCCTAAACCCTAAACCCTATATAATCCGTATATATTATCATGCACTTCCCGCAGGTGGCCCCAAGGGCCACCTTAAGCCCTTGGGGCACCCGGACTTCTTGGACTCCTGGGATGGTGAGGCCTGAGCACTTCAGAAATGCTGTGAGTGTAGGGTGTTAGAGTGGATCAGTGGTACCTAAACCCCAAAGGTATGCAGAATAATGAGCTGTTGGGCTGTTTTATGGAGTTTTGGGCCATTATTCTACCTACTTTTGGGGTTTAAGTAGGTGTCGCCAAAGCACAATGTCCCAATATTGGCGTTATATGGGGTTTATAGAGGGTTTATGTAGGGATTATAGGAAATATATTGGGGTTATATTGGGATAATGGAAAAGAAAATGGAAACTACTATAGTATAATAAGGATTTCGGGATGTCACCTCCAGCCTTCCAAGCTTTACAGCCTTTTCTA